GCGGATGTTTAGAAAGATGAGGAGAGTTTGGAATGGGTCGGATATGCAACGCATAATAGTTTTGTGTCTAGTAGCTTTTGCGGATAGATGAAAACCACGAAATGATGCTAATTAAAAAGCAACTGTATTTTGTTTTGGCACAAACTATTTGTGAGGAAGCGACGCCGCTGCTTGGGTTCCCTACGATTCAGGCTCTCGGGGTCGTGAACTTTGTGGACCACGTCCCTGAGTTTCCTCTGCTTCAGGTGAGGGTGGATGTTCTATCCGAGATGTTTCATGATCTGGGGGAGCTCCGTTTGAATCCATCTGACCCCGGATGCAGTCACTTTCTCGGTGGCACTCTAGAAGCAGATCTCAATTCGACTGTCTGACGTGATCAAGTTGGAGAGTTGGACATCTGTCGAAGGATCAACCGCTTCTCGGCCAACATGGCCACTGGCAATGTAGCAGCCTGTTCATCCTAATTAATGTCATCAACCCACCGCTCTCGTCATGTCGGTGGGCCATCGCACACTCGACACAGCTCTGCCGGCTCCATGTTATGCTACAGCCCTCGGGTTCTTCGACTGAGCGAGATTGTAACGTGTTGACGCCTACAAGTGGCAAAGCTTGTAATTATGGTGTGCTTTGCCCTCCATAACATGATGACATCAAGGCCATGCTGGATGTGCTGGATCTCCTGAGATGCATTGCGCCCTTCGATGGCTGATCTTGAAACGCTCGCCAAAATCCCGTCATTTAGAACGAAAAATGTGGCCATTCGTTTAAAATAGAACCAGCGATTATCAATTACAGGTTTAGCTGATCCTATTCTTTTTATTTCTTGAAGTTTTTTGTATGATTGAAGTTTCAATTAAGTATCCCTTTAAAAAAGAAAAGATTGCAGGAACATCTTGTGGTAGAATAAAAGCATGCAACTAGTACACAGAATTCACAAGTGCTTGCCCATGTGTAGCAAGCTATACCTCATGTGAAAAGTAGGTTAAGGGGCTGAGAAACGTATGTGCACAAGTGCACCAGTCTAGGCACTGTTTTGCTTGTACAAACGAACAAGGGCTGGCCATGCCAAAGGTGCTTGGGCAATGGTTGTGGTAAAGTTCCAAAAATCAAAATGCCGAAATAGTGAAAGGTTGATTGTGAGCAAGTTGCAGGGTATCATGACATTCATGAAGCCACTGGTGGACAATTCTGCCATCCATGTCGCAAGACGCTAGAGCTACACAAAGAATGTTTAGCAGTTGCTTTGGACGACTGGGGCAATGTGGATACACCAATCTGTCACCTGTGTTTATATATTTGTTTTGCGAACATAATATATTGATATTCTCTGTATCTTGCTGTGTTTCGGCGTTTTGATGTTGTGATATTTCGCCGTTCTGTTTTGTTTTTTTGGAGTTACTGACATTTTGAATTTTGGCATTCTGAATGTCTCCTGCTTATGCAGGCCTGGAACAAAGCAAAACAATGCTCTGAGCTGACTTCATACAAGGACTGCATTTACAAACACTCACTTGGAGAAGATAAGAAATCATCTGAACCCTGAGTATAGGTGTCAGACACCAGAAACCGTACTACAAGACATGATTACTGAGGGCCGCACTTATGCCAGGAACAGGGACGCTGTGTACAACAGATTCTCCGTCAAGAGGCAAGTTGCGACGGATAATATTTTGTTTCTGGTGCTATCAAAAAGAATATGCGAGAAATCTTTCAATGGCACCCTTGGATTTTGTGTGGTGAAGGACCCTTGCAGAATACAGGAAAACAACACAGACGTGAGGTTCTAGGGAGCTTTTGGTTTAACCCTTAGCTAGCCAATGTCAGCACCAGCACTGGATGCTAGGGTAGCCTAAGAAACGTTAAACACAAACAGGCCAGCACCACCACTACACATATCAACAGAATGAAATTGAAAGAAATCAACGAATAGCAGAGCGTGAACTTGAACGACAAAACGCAGCTGGTGACCAATTAATATTAGATAAAATCAAGTGTGAAGAAGAACTAGAACGTTTACGCATGGATTATCGAAATAATTATATAGAAATAAACGAGTCTGAAAAACGGCACGAAGAAATTTCCGAAGAGAAACGTAATGCTGCAAACGAAGCATATAAACGTATGCTACAAGTAAGGCGTCAATTGAGTAGGCTAGAAGAAATTTTAGCAGAAAGACGTTGCAGAACATAATATTATACATAAACCCATTTTTTGGTAATTTGACAAAATTTTAAGATGGCCTCTGCATTGAATAAAGAGTATATACAACAAAAGTAATTATTGAGAAATTGCATAAAAACCTTGTTACAAACTTGTGAACAACATTTTAGCAAAGGTACAACGCACAATGAACGTAATTGAGAGACAAGAAATAAGTAAACTATTTTGTAATAAAATCAAATGTGAAAAAGAATTGGAACGCGAACGTAAGAAGTATTGGACTAAGTATATAGATCGTAAAAAAAGTAACGCAATAATCTCTTATGAACAACGTAATGATGCAAACGAGACATATAAACGTATGGTACAATTAAGACGTCAACTTACTAGGCTAGAAGAACTTTTGGCAGAAATACGTTGTAGAACGTAACGCAATACAAAACAAACGTATGTTAACGATCAAGCGATTTAAATAAGAAAAGAATGCAAAAGCTCGTAAGTGGCCTTCGACCCCGGCTGCTCCCAGACAGAAGTTGCTATACGGTCCCTGGAGAATGCCCGGGCCCCCAAGACGGGGCCTCTCTGCCGTGAAACCCGAGCCCCGCGTGCGTGCCCGCAAGCAACAGCTTCGGAGGCGACCGCCCTCGCCCACGGAGAAAGGGCATTCCATCGGACGACGCCGAGCGTCGGAGGCGACCGCCCTCGCCCACGGAGAAAGGGAATTCCATCGGACGACGCCGAGCGAGACGCAGCACCGCTCTAGAACTGTAACCCTTATATAATCGCCCATTTGTGTATTCCTCAAAGTTTTAATTAAAGAAACAGTTTAATCGAACCTCATCGTAATTGGTTCAACCTAATCGCTAACACGTAAACAAGTTTACATCGACTTAACGAAACTCATCCATATGTAGCTATAGCACATCTTTCACATAGATAATTTGATTGTAGAAAACAATTAATGTCATGTACAACAAAAACACTTGTGCGGTGTTGTGAAAATAAAAAAACATGGCAACCAAACAGGTACGATTCAATGGTACCGATTTTGCAGAATTTCCAGATGTAAAGGTTCAGGACATACGTAATCTTGCGGAATTTTTTGACATAGATATATCACCTCGAAGACTAACTTTATCCGGTACAGTTTTTTTCAAAAACTATTGGTGAACGTATTGTACTTCACATGTCCGAATTACCGGATCATAACGAAGAGAAGGCTTATGTAAACAAACTTTACGAAAACGTACCGAGTTTACAGCGACCTAACGAAAGTGACCCAGGTGCATCTATAACACACTTTTCAAAATGGTTGACTACCTTGCATAATATAGATAATTTGATGCCATATTTAAACCTACATGGTTCTAGCATTGTACAATCTTCCGAAGTTAACGTCGATAAACGATTATCCTTAATTGTAAACAAAGTCGAACCTGTAATACCGAAACACGATGAACACGAAAAGGCATTTGTAGGTGTGGAACCTCTTCCGGTAAACTTGTCCTTTAAGCAAAGGTGTTTATCTATTGAAGCTCTTCAAGCACTCATCGAGATATTACCATCCTACTTTTTACATGAAAAACATTTCATCAACTGTATTAAAGATAAAATCACTGTAATGGATAAAACGCGAACATCGGAATGTGAAGGAATAATTGGGGAATTTATAGATGCGACTCCCAATAGTGTGAAGGAAAATTTAACTACAGATCGTGCGTTTCTAAATGACGTTTTTACTAGAACGAATAATTTATTTAAATTATATAAACTATCCCAATCTACTGTACCGGTACCGGCAGCGGTGCAACGAATAAACATGCTCTTTCAAGGATTTGACATGGTCGATATGTTAAATGTAGATTTGCTGCAAAATATGAATGATATAGAAGTTAGATATGGCACTGCTCTTCCCATAGTTTTTCATACTCGCATCGACGACGATTTGTTAGAGCCAAATTATAACGCTTTACTTATAGACAATCACGAACGGGCCAAGATAGCATTACTATTACTATCGTTACATAAAACGAGTGTATCAGATGTATATAATATTTACATAACACCAGAGCTCAGGGTGACGACAATTTCAGATGTTTTAGGTTCTCATGCTTGTGATAGCGTCTTTCTTTTACAATTGTTGATGAACTTGACACGGACAGAGACTTATTTCTTGAAGAGCAATTATTCGAATCAAGATGCTTTTATAAAGGCTTTACAAGTAGTAATACACGGAAAATATCCAGTACACACACCGTTTGTTCAAGAATACGTTTCTTTTAAAAAGCGAATGACGGCATTACGCGTGGCACAAATGTACGTCGAATCTCAATTTACAGCCTATTTAAAGTACAATAGGATTGATATTAAGAATCAGAAAATACTTTTTTGGCATTCGTTATTCTTTAGAAATCCAATATTATTCAAAAGACTACTCATGGCACTAAAAAATGACAAATACGGTTTGGGGTATCTTCCTATTAATTTATTGTCACATGCATTGGCACAACTGCGTGATAAGGAAAGGAATACCCGTTTACATTCGACAAGATATAATGAAATCATTCGCATTAGGGGACGTAGCACAAAAATGTATTTGCGTTCGCCATTGAAAATGATTCATATTTATTTAGACGCATTTAAAGAGGTTTTAAACGTATATATTGGTGGTTACAGCTTACGCAATATATTTATACAATTGCAAGAAATCTGTGGGGTGGATGCTATTAGAATAATTGATTTTCAACTCGGACAGTTCCCAAGTAATGCCGCATTGCTACATTATAGCAGACTGATTAACCCTCGTCGTAATAATAATTAAATTGAAGGAACTGTTTTTTTTAGAAATCGGCATGCCTTGCATCTATTATTCCCCACATTGAATTTTTAGACAATGTACTGAAGTAGTTCGTTCCTTCAACACGTGGTCCACCAACGTCCAATTCAGTTTCGTTACCTGTATGTGCATCTTCATCGTCCCCGAATGATCCATATACAAAATCGGACATTACAATGGGTGGTTTTAAACACGTTTTCCTAGCATCAACGGTGTCCGATTCGTCAGGTCCAGTAAATATATTTTCAGGTGTTAGATACGTTTTGAGATCGTCGATATTTAACATTCCTTCAATTGGAGATATTTCAATTTTGTTTCTTTCATTTATAAAGAGATGGACTAACTGGAAATCGTTTAGCGTTATGCAGTGATCTCTCTTAGTCAAATTGAAATTACACTTTACCAACATATTACAAAATCCATTTATAGTTTTACAAGCATTATCTACTTTACTAAAAGCCTCCGATCCAGCCCCTTTGTATTTACCAAACATTAAACTTCGTATATTAGACTTCATCACAGACATCTCTTGAACTACGATTGCACGCAAAGAATCCACGTCGATACACTCACCCTTCCTATATACGATCAACCTCTTCAACAATATCAGCATGACATCTTTATAACTTCCAAATAAATTAACATTTTCTCGTACGTAATTCTCCATTTTTTGAACTGTTACTGCTGTATTCTTTAGACCCCCCATTGACGGTACGATATGATCTAAAAGGATTCGACACAATGCAGCCCCCATTTTCTCCTGAACCTCTTCGTGCATGAGTAGTGGATTACCAAGGAGCCACCTCTGTGTAGGAATTCCTTTCGGTACCTCAATGATGTCACAAGGAAATCCTTGGTTTAAAATATTATTGTAATGCATAGGAAATAAAGTGTTGCGTGCATTTAAATTAGTCAAAGTCTGTTTTGTCATAACGTTTGCATATTTGTTCATTTCTATGGTGTATAATCCCTTGAAGGAAGGATATGCCGTTCCATACAAGCGTCTACAATATCTATCGGCAGCCAAATGTTGCAATAATTGTTTTCTAAGCATTACTTTGCCGGCAATGAATGTAGATACGGTTGGAATGATCATGAGTCTGCTCTGTTCGGCTAACATGGTACTCGAAATATATGGCATGTCATTTGAAGAGGTGACAAACTTTGCAGAAATACGAAAATCATTGTTACATCGATCGTAAGGTTGTCTACTAGAGACTCGATCACCTCCGGTAAATTGTTTAAATTTGCGCCGTCCGCCTTCGTCCATGTCTAATATCGGAATTTCGTTCTCGATTGCAAATCGAATTTCTTCCGCGTTTGAACGAAAAGTAGCATCCATTCGATTATCCGATTTCGAAGTAAAAAAGTTTGCAGGAAGAGTACGTACGAGATTGCTCTTTTTTCCAAAAATGTAGTTAAGAATACCTATAAACATTGATTTTCCATTAACCGCCTCCCCGTGCATGAACATTACTAAACGTCCATTGCTATCCGTGTATAAACCGAGAGCTAAAAATTCCAACACGAGTCGTGCTTGTTCGGACGAGCCAAATATTTCGATTAACATGGTCCACACCAGTTGATCCCACGTTATTTCGTTTTTAACGAAAACGACAGGACCACCGTCGTCGTTTTCGGATGTACAAATGGTTGCCTTGTCCATGACGGGCGCGTACATATCGGGGTGCCTTTGTAACATTATCCTCATTGCGAGAAGAGACGATGCCGTTGCAATGTACAGTCCAAATTTAGATTTAGATTGGTCACATTCCGTGAAACGTTTTATGCGCTCGCTGGTTTCGTCGTTTAATTTATGGATTTCAGATTTAGACGGCAGGCAATTATCGTTAGTAGATGTAATTATTTCATCGTCGTATTCTATGTTTTCAAAATATTCCTGAAACCTAGTGCTTGGATCACTGTACAATTCATCTAAAAAGTCTTCCATAAATTTGTCGGGATCTCTGTTTTCCAGCATTTTGTCCGATACTTTCATAGTGACGGAACGTAAAATGGTTAACATTTCCTTGCCAAAATTTCGTTGTTCGAACGCCTTCCACGCGGAATCCATCCAATTACATATTACTTTACACCTATACTGTATACCCCCTCGCATGGGGTGAATCTCGGTATATACGTGTTCAACCAATTCATCCTTTCCTAAATCTAATTTGCAATCGCTTCTAACTGTACATAATTGCGATGCGTCCCATGGAATGTATTTTGCATCGTATAAATCATACGTTACATTGTCTGGTAAAACGAGATGCCTGTTGGTGGTTAAATTTACATTGCTATTATTAGCTCCAGATTGCAGGTACGTATTTAAGTTTGAAAAATCGACTTTATGCTCCAATTTCTTCGTAGACATACGCAAAAAATTATAACACAAATCGAAAGGTGTAATGTTATCACCAGCCGATTCGTATTCGAAACAAGTTTTTATCGCAACGAGTTCTAAATCTAATATTAATTTGCTCAAATCATCTAACACCATGGTTCCAGTTGCAGCGTTATATTTGAAAAGATCGTAACTGTCCGAGGCTTTGTTATGTACGAGCATACATACGTTGCTTATACTTAATAATCGTTTAATATATTCGTTGTATACCATGTTTACAACACCCATTCCTTTAATCAGTTCAGATAGCAACCATTCCGAAGTTTCTTTGTCTTCGTTAGTCATTTGAAAAAGAGGTTCGTATTGTAAACGCACCAATCGTCTCGGTAGATTAAGTGGTTTTACAGCATTCAACTCTTCTCCGCACATGTTCTTTCTTTTACGACCCCTTTGAGTTTTAGCCCTTTGCATAGTAGGTATTAAGCGATCGCTACGAGTGGTTTCGAAATCTGCGTCTTCTTCATTTTCATCATCCTCTTCCTCTGTGGTCAACGATTCCACCGGAGTGTACCTCCACAACCAAGCCACGGCACGATCGTAATGAAATCCTGGGTCGTCTTTCATATTCTTCTGAACTGTTTTCGACAATACACGAAAAATTCGCCTACCAACGTTATAATTCATGTTACTTGCCACGATTAGGAGTAAACGATACCATTTATCGTAGGTAGATGCGTAATTTGCGAAGTATACTAATTTTAATAAAGCCCACTTAAAGACGTATTCTCTAGCAATAGCTGTTGTTTTTGGTTCACCGATACCGCAATATGAAATCCCCTTATATGCTTTTGCCAATTTAATACAAATTTCGGGAGAGTTTGGACGAGCGTTATTTAAACGGCGCCCCTGAAAGGTCGGTCTACCGTCTGGGAAGGAAATGTTTATACGTTGTTCTTGTTCGTTTGCGAATATATCGCCCCATTCTGCACTACTTGAAAGCAATTGAAAACCCTCGTTACATCGTCCCAAATTATCAATATCCCCATTACCATCTAATCCTTCGTCTTCGCTCGAAACGTGATCTAAATCCTGTTGGACGGACGTAGAAGGTCTTGCAACAAGTATCGATTCCAAATTATTACTCGGTATTCTCGTCCAGTCTATTACGATATCCATATCATCCACATCTTTATGGAGAGAAAGTATATGTCTCAAACTTTTGCTCGATATATTTTGTGGACCGTAAAAGTCGAGGCGAAAATCCTCGGTATCTGTATCAATTTCGAATTTTAAGCTCGTTACATATTTGTAGGCGCTTGTAGAGTCGAATTTGCGACTATTGTAAACAAGCCACTGCGATGAACCGGCAGTTACATCCAAATCCGGCCAATCCACTTTCATCGCAAGGAGTCCTAATTTTCGTACAGGTGTTAATATGTTAGCTCCGTTACATGCTTTATCGTCAACGAATACAACATTCAGATAGTGCACATGCCAACGTTCCACAGTGACGTTTTCATTCTCAAAATATTTCATGCGACTTGTCAAAATAGCATTCACATTAAATACCTTTTTTCCGATGTTATGAAGTATATATGGCTTGTAACAGCATATAAGATGTTGAGCGAATTTTCCTACACGGGCGACTACATTGTCCATGGTCAAAGAATCCTTCGGTGTACAATCGAAATCCAGGACTAAACGATAGATGTACTTGTCTTGCATGGTGGAGGACATTGTAGAGCCGATGAGTTCTTGAACATTATCTTTAGGTATAACTTCCATTTCATCCAGGAGTCTATTTGCATTTTGACGATCGAGTGCCACAGTTGCCCTTCCAACGAGGTGCGTTGGAAATCTTTCTTGAGGATCCATTCTGCGTTTTTAGAGGGAAGAAACGGAAAATTATTTTACAGAAACATATAAAAAATGTCTTGTTGTAACGACTCTTTCAATTTAATAAAAACCACGAGTCAAGGTTTATGTGCCGACGAAATGAGTCGTGTGATTACTATCTGTGGTAAATGTTTTAAAACACTGCACAAGTATTCGCAACAACCACCCATTGACAAAAATATAATAACGAATTATACACCAAGAAAGTTTTATCTCAAGTAATCATAATGTATACTCTTTTATATGCAATGTACGCATCCGAAAATGGTATGGGGTCTTTAAATAATTTAAAAAAAATTCTTAACGAAAAACATACTCATGCGAGTCGTGTTGCACAAGCAGCTATGGAAACTACGTCGTTCGCCGCAATAGTGGATTTCATGAGTCTATATTACGATACCATGAATTGTGTGAATTTACAAAACGATACTAATTTTGCTAGAGATACTGCATTAAATCACATTACCAAAGTTTTAGACGATGGTTTACAATTTAATAGCGAATGGTACGAACCAGAAGTTTGGATGAAACTCGCAAATCATCCAGTGATCAATATTTTAGAACCGATCATAGTATCACATCGAGGTATACGAAGATCGTCTGGTAATTTAGCACACCTCTGTTCGCCCGTACCATCACCTTGGTTAACATCCTTCTTTAAATCTACTAGATTTTTATCTTTTGTGTACGCTGCTTATAAGAGTGACAATCACCATAATCTGTTTGCTATATTTCAAAAGCAAGTTTTGTACATTTACATAATAGATTACAGGCAATATATGGTAATTTGGCACCAGTTGATAAATCTTTGGATAGTTTCACGCACGGTGAACTGATTTGTAAAGAATACATACCCAAAATAATAGAAGAATGTAATGACAACAGTTTGTTGCAACTAAAAAAAATACCATCTAATGTTTACTATACAACACCCATAGACGAAAAAAAGTTGGACCCACCTTTGATTCCGGATTTTAATAGTTTAATGAAATCTTCCGCTGCGCTAGAAATGCCGCAATTAACACCATTGGATTTATCTAACAAAGACGAAGAGTACGTCCCGATGTGTGTAACCGATGTTCCTAGGACAACTACCTTTACATACACTCCAACGAGGACTTCTGGTGGTGGGGATCCACCTTATATATAGCTCCGAAAAATGTGTATATATTTGTATGGACCAAAAAAAAAATAAACTCGTCGACTGTTCTAAAAGGTATTATGTTTTTATTCCATAGTGGTTCAAAGATGCTTTCACTGGGTGAACTTTTGTTATTGTTTCCTCAGTATATTTCCATGATAATGCCTGTTGTTAGTAAACGTAGCAATCATATTGGGATTGGTTGTTCCAAATGCACTAAAAATTGTGATATTTTGCACATCCCAAGCGACTATATAATGGGTGTGATGGTAATGCTTTCGCGAACGTATCCAGACGCTCCCAAACAGGAATCACTCTGCATGTGGTACAATTTGCCCTTGGAGAATGCCATGCCCAATAAAGTATTTACTCACACGCACTCTCAAGTTCCCTTTTCTTTGCGTGACGATTGTGAATACGTCATATCCATTTTTATAGGATTTATAAATCCAAACGACGATTGCGAAATGAAGATTATGGATTGTTGGGTGAGGCTTGGTTATACCATCCGAAGTTTAGATTACGAACAACGTATGAACTTGGTCAAAGAATTGGGATTTGCAACTTTTCTTTTCCAAACGGATCGCGACAACAAAACGGGAACTTCTATGTGGTCTGTTTTAAATCAAAACAAGTATATTAGATACGTATGGATACCTACTGAGGTGGACAAGTTCACTCTGTTAACTACTCCAGAAGGAAACTTGTACGATTCGGAAGGCTCTGAACTTCTACACGAGTGTTGGGACGCAATAAATAAACATGTCACGCGAAACACAACCATCACCGCTGCAATTATAAAATGCAAAAGAAACAGTCACCAGTTAAGGGTGTTCAAAATGCATCCCTCAATGACAAACATTTTACGAGTACCAACGATATTCGTCAAATAATTCGTTACGATCGTAAATTAGATTACACAATCAACGAAGATGTAGCGATGTACATGTATAAATTAACTAGTTTTGTATTTTATCGAGAAGCCACTTTCCAGACTTTTAAAAATCCGTTCATGAAAAATTCACCACCTTATCGTGCCGATGCAGCTTGCCCTGCTCTTAAACTTATGGTGGAATACAACGGTAAATATCACTACGATAAGAGCGATTGGCCTCGCACTCGTAATGACGTTCTAAAACGTCGTTGGTGCAAATTAAACGGATATACACAAATAGTCGTCCCTGCAAGTGTGTATAAAAATATATTGCAGGCATATTTACATTTTCGATTACTCACGGATACCGATATCCGCGTGAAATACGATAAAAGTGATGTTTTAAACGAGGTTGTGTTTACAAAGAAGGAAATCGAATGGATAGACTATGTGTTACACAGTGTTCTTCCAAACTTTTTAGAAGGCTGCGGGAAACGCATATCGTCATTATTAATATTCAACGATATAACATCTGAATGCACCATAGCGTTCCGTCTTCAGTATCCCATATGCAAAGACGTGATAAGAGACCCGTCGACGAATCGCATCTTACAAACGTATGACGATAACTGTTGCGATTATGGAGCGACGACGCTATATTTTTGGAAGAATCGTCCAATAAAAAACGTAAATCGCCCCAACGACATTCACATCCCACTGTTTCTAATTGGAACGCGCAATAAAGAAACCAGTTTGGCTAAATACATCAGTTATAGACTTATCGATACAATAGATCAGGCAACCGTTTTTTGGAAAATTTGAAAATGTTTTCCAAGAAAAAAGAAAATCTAATTCTAGATATATTAAGTCGAATAGTGAATGGGAGCGTTCAGCGTCAGTTCACAGACGAAGGTTTAAATTATCATTATATTTTACAGAGCACGTTTCCTAACCAAATATGGGACCCAAAAAAGAAACACGTTCATCCGCTGCGATTCGACGCCATGTGCATTTTAAATACAATGATCGATAGTAAAATATACATAGCTGTGGAATACAACGGTCCCTACCATTACTATTTCCGTAACGTAAAAAGAACAAAGCACATTCTCTTAAGCAATGATTGGTTAAAACGTATCTGGTGTCGAGCAAATGACGTACATTTAATTTGCATTTCTCCTGCTGCGGTCTTAACGGATCGTTACATACGTTTTCGCATAAATGCTGTGACTACAAATAGATGGCACACGATGCGCGGACCGATACAACAGTCTTCCGATTCCGTCATTCTTTTTGAAGCATTGAATAAAGTTCGTTTAAACACGCTTACTTGGTGCGTGGAAGTGATCAGAGACGACGACAATTGTATTACCTGCATGATTTCTTATTCTTTAGATGCAAATAAATATTGTCGCCATCCAGATATGAACCTAGAAGTGAGGCGTAAGTCATCGATGGAAACTCGTTTTACTATCACGTGTTGGAAAATCGAATCCCTAGTTGCAAAAACAATACATGTCGAAGGTATGTTAAAGCACACACAAATACACTTACCGTTTTATCTACTTTCAACTAAGAATTTAGTGGAATATCTTACGTGTCGCATAATAGATGAAATTGACGATATATGTTTATTTGCTAAATGGAATAGAGACGTGTTATTTTACACAGACACAATAAGTCAATGCATTGCTAAAAAAATACGAATTTATTGACTCACACCACCACACACGTAGGTCTCTTTCTCTCAACCATTTCTTTTAAAACAGCATCTTCAATAAGCAGATCGATGTACATACACATCCCGTGGGCTCATTGTGAAGTGATTGAAACGTATCACTTGATATGGATTGTCGCCAAACAGTGCTATTTCCTTGTCACAGCGTGCGAGAATGAACTGTCGCAGCTCTTCAATGGCAACATCAGGCTCTTGCAATTTACAGGATTCCACAATACCCATTTGCAGATCGTACGTCATGTTATGGACAGCGTAATTAATTACACTTCGCGTCGGCTCCGAAAGTTCACTCAATCGCACAACAGCAGTCACCTCTCGCAGGATGGCACCGTTGAAGAACTTGAAAGGCCGCACACACTTTTTCAATGTCTCCATGAAGATCACATCGTCCCAGTAAGGTCCGGAAGTAAAGTCCATCACGACGGCCATGTCACCCATTGCGAGAAGTCGATTATCGATGCACCAATTTTCGTTGTCGGGTGTCGTGACTATTGTAAATCCTGGAGGACAGTCGTTGTAGTAGTCGGCGTTGTTGAAGAGGAAGATCCATTCTTCGTTCACCGTTGGTTTCACGTGCTCTTTCCACATGTTGATGCAAGCCACAACGAGTTCGTACAACGGTGGAACTCTTTCCATGTGCCGATAATGTCTACCGTACGCAATGTTTTCCAACGTAACCTTTACGTACTCGTTAGCATCGTTAGATGGTGGAAGATCAAAATTGTTTATACCAATATCTTCAGCGGACTGTTCTCTACTCAATCCATCTTCACACTCATACGTCAATCTGGCCACGTACGAGTTTACGAAAGCTCGCACCTCGTTGGAGTTCATAACGTTCTCACAGAACGAAAAAACAAGTGTGTGGGTCTTACCCTCACATTTATATAACTGAATAAAGAAAAAAAAGAGGGCGTAACCGGTGACACCCACACTTACGATTGTATCTACACCCAACTCCTCCTCTCAAATCTAAAAATGGGACCAATGGGAATGAAGTAAAAAAACACCACCCACACCGCATAGACACGCCTACCCCTCCCACACCGTTTATATATGTATATATGTATTTTTCGCCGACATTGCAATATTTCGAAAACGAACAATCTGTGACGGATCCTCCCCTAGCACGTTCATTTCCCGTGGCACCCGTTCAATCATGAATCGTTCCAACTCGTCGATAGCTACGTCGTACTCGTGTAAATAACAACACTTCAATAAAGTTCT